GCGGCGGTCACCTTGCCCTTGCCCTTGTCGCTCTTGGTGCTGCGGTCCTTGCGCTCAAGGATGGCCTTGCGGTTGTGGTTCAGCTTCAGCTTCGTGATCTCCACGTTGGAGGGGTGCACGCCGACGGGAACGGTGGTCCCGTTCGCCTTCTCCCGGTTGACCTTGTCGATGTGAATTACCCAACGGAGGCGGTAGCACGCCGTGATCTTGCCCTCGCGGCCCTTGTACGCGCCGCGCTTCACACGCACCTCGTCGTCCTTGTGGACGGGCATGGCACGCACGTTGTACTTGGCGCGGAGCTCCTTCGAGAGCGGGGCGCTCATGAGGATGCGGCGCACATGGCTCGGCGCCTGAAAGTGGGCGCGGCGGGCCTTGCGACGGCTTCCACACTTGATGCTGGCCATGCGGAAGTCCTTGACACTGCGTGCGGCGCAGGAGAGGAAAAAAGGAAAAGGGAGAAAAAAAAACAAAGAAAAAAAACGATAGAGAGAGAGAGAAAGGAAGAGAAGGGCGTCGCGGACGGGGGCGCGCAAAGTGAACAGCAGAAAGGCAGAAGTGCGGGGGGACAACACGGCGCCGCACCTGCTCCATGCTCCTTCCTTCACTAACGTTAACGCACCACAAAATTCCCTCACCCACACGCGCGTGTACGAAGCAGAGGGCTGATACGCACGTAAGTGCGCAAAGGGGGTGACCCAAGAAGAAGAAGAAAAACCTGCTCAGCGGACAACGAGCCCCCTCCTCCCCTCCCTCGCCCCCCTCAAGAAGAAAAGAAGAAAAAAAAAAAACACCACCACCTCCGGATGCTCGCTTTCTCCCACCCATTAAAGGGGGAAATGACAAATAATTTCTCATCAGGAGGCACGTGCGTCGGGGTGAGGCAGGAAACCAAATAGAAATACGACGGCAAGAGGAAATTTGGCAACAAGGCCGTCAAATGTGCGCCTGGACGAGGCCGTTGTCCCTCCTATTCATGCAAGGAGAAAGTCCGAACGATGATAGATCACAGCTTGGCTCAATGCGCGCCCAACCTGCCAGGCCACGGAAGAAGAGTTTCATCCTACACACATATAAGCCCAAATGAACGCGGGCGGCGCAATGCGGTGGCAGCACCCACGCAACTGCACCCGCGCCGCCCTCCGGCGAGGCCGCATTGGAAAGCCATCAGGTGGCACATACGAAAACCAGGGCAAAGGGACAACTACCCTGCTCTCTTCGTTAGCCTCATCTGGACGTACGCTCCCTACCACAGGTTTCAGAAAACAAATTAAAAAAGGAAAATACGAAAAAAAAAAAACGAAAACCCC